GCCAGGTCTAGTGTACTCGTGCTGGGGTGGCCAGGTCTGGTGTACTCGTGCTGGGGTGGCCAGGTCTAGTGTACTCGTTGGGTGGCAGGTCTAGTGTACTCGTGCTGGGGTGGCCAGGTCTAGTGTACTCGTGCTGGGGTGGCCAGGTCTAGTGTACTCTGTGCTGGGGTGGCCAGGTCTAGTGTACTCGTGCTGGGGTGGCCAGGTCTAGTGTACTCGTGCTGGGGTGGCCAGGTCTGGTGTACTCGTGTGCTGGGGTGGCCAGGTCTAGTGTACTCGTGCTGGGGTGGCCAGGTCTAGTGTGTACTCGTGCTGGGGTGGCCAGGTCTAGTGTACTCGTGCTGGGGTGGCCAGGTCTAGTGTACTCGTGCTGGGGTGGCCAGGTCCTGGTGTACTCGTGCTGGGGTGGCCAGGTCTAGTGTACTCGTGCTGGGGTGGCCAGGTCTAGTGTACTCGTGCTGGGGTGGCCAGGTCTAGTGTACTCGTGCTGGGTGGCCAGGTCTGGTGTACTCGTGCTGGGGTGGCAGGTCTGGTGTACTCGTGCTGGGGTGGCCAGGTCCTGGTGTACTCTGTGCTGGGGTGGCCAGGTCTAGTGTACTCGTGCTGGGGTGGCCAGGTCTAGTGTACTCGTTGCTGGGGTGCACAGGTCTAGTGTACTCAGCCAGTGCCAGGTTCAGTACTCAAAAGGTGGCCAGGTCTAGTACTCTGTGCTGTAAAGTACAGGTTCAGTACCTGTGCTGGGGTGGTCAGGTCTAGTGTACCTGTGTTGGGTGTAATAAAGCCCAGGCACTGTGCTGGGGTGGTCAGGTTCAGGTACTGTGCCAAAGGCCAGGTTTAGTGTACCAGCTGGGGTAACAGGTCTGTGTACCTGTGTTGAAGGCACAGAAGGTTCAGTGTACTCAAAAGGGGTAAGCTATGCTCAGTACTGTGCTGGGTGGCTGGTGTCATTCAGTGCACCAAAGTTGGGTGGCCAAAGCTGGGGTGTTGTATTCAGTACTGTGCTGGGGTTGGTCAGTACTGTGTTGGGGGCACAGGTCTGTTAGTGTACTGTGCTGGGGTGGGCCAGGTCTAGGCAACCTGTGCTGGGTGGCCAGGTTCAGTGTGCACTGTGTTGGGGTACAGAAATTAGTGTACTCTAAAATAAAGGTACAGCCAGGTCTAGTACTGTGTTGGGGCTAGGTTCAGGTACTGTGTGCTAGTGCAACAGGTTCAGTGTACTGGTGTTGTGGTGCCAAGGTTGTCTAGTGCACTGTGCTGGGTGGCCAGGTTCAGGCACGTGCTGGGGTGGCCAGGTCTAGTGTACTGCTGGGGTGGGCTGGTAATACTAGTGTACCTGTGCTGGGGTGGCCAGGTTCAGTGTACTGTGCTGGGGTGGCCAGGTTCAGTGTACTCGTGCTGGGGGCCAGGTCTAGTGTACTGCACAGTTCAGTGTGACTCGTGCTGGGGGCACAGGGTTCAGTGCACTGCCAGTGTGGCCAGTGTAGGTCTGAGGTACCTGTGCTGGGGTGGCCAGGTCTATGCCTGTGCTGGGTGTGTCCAGTGCACTGTGCTGGTGGGTCAGGTCTAGGCACTGTGCTGGGTGCACAGGTCTGGGTGCACTGTGTTGGGTGGCCAGGTTCAGTGCACTCTGTGCTGGGGGTGGCCAGGTTCAGTGTACCTGTGCTGTGCACAGGTTCAGTGTACCCCTGGTTAAAGGCAGGCTGGTAGGTTCAGGCACTGTGCTGGGGTGGTAACAGGTTCAGTACTGTGCTGGGGAAGCCAGGTCTAGTGGTACCTGTGCTGGGGTGGGCCAGGTCCTGCTGGGTGGCCAGGTTCAGTGCACTGTTGTGGCCAGTTCAGTGTACTGTGCCGGGTGGCCAGGTTCAGTGTACCTGTGTGCTGGGGTGGCCAGGTCTAGGGGTGTACCGTGCTGGGTGGGTCAGGTCTGCGCACTCAAAGCGGTGGCCAGGTTCAGTGTACTCGTGCCGGGGTGTGGGTTCAGTACCTGTGCTGGGGTGGCCAGGTTCAGTGGTACTGTGCTGGGGTGGCCAGGTTCAGTGGCCTGTGCTGGGTGGCCAGGTTCAGGTGCACTCTGTAAAGCAGGCCCAGGGTCTGCCAGGGGTGCAAGGCCAGGTCTAGTGTACCTCTGTTAAAAATAGGTTCAGGTGTACTCCTGCGTGGGTTGTGGCTCAGGTGTACCCCTGCCGTTAAAAGCCAGGTCTATGCCAAAACAGGTTCAGTGTACTCCTGCTGGGGGCCAAAAATTCATAGTGTACCCCTGCTGGGGTGTACAGGTTCAGGCACTGCTGGTGGTGCTGGGGTGGCCAGGTCTAGTGTACTCCTGCTGGTGCTTCAGGATCAGGTCGGTGTGAGGATAGTCATGTTACCATCAAGCGTTAAGGTCGTTCACCATGTGGCCATTACCTATAAAGGCTGGACCTGTCGTTTGTTTTGTCTCGTCTGCCACAAGTGTCACGAGAGACAACAGTACAATACAATATCTATTGTTTTTACAGCGACGGCTTCATCGTTAATAGATAAGAGATCTGTCAGGTTCTCAAGAAAGCGCAGGCGAGACATGGCCCTGACCAATGGCTCTGACTAGACCTATCGTCAACGCGTCCGCCTTCCCTCACCAAACCCTCAGAGGAACTTTTTAGAAGCGCGGATTAACACACTGACTCTTCAGGCCACCAACGTTTATAAACAACTGACGCAAATCTTAGTGCATAAATTAAATTAATTTGTTTTTAATGGGAAAACTAGAATTTTTATAAGTTGTTCATAATCATTGGCAGTGTGTGTTTTATAATGCCAAAATGATACTGAAAGTTGAATTGTAACGCTTGAGGGAGGTTTTGAAAACCCATTACATTGTATACGTGCCACAGTGTCTTATAAAGAATGGCGTTTTGTTCACTTTGACTGACCACCTGCACTTGACGATACACTAGTGGTAAATATAGGTACTTGCTGTAGTGTTGTTAAAGAATACCCTGAAGTTATAGTTGTTAATATCGAGACTTTTTTACGGGGATTAGCTTTAATGCTGGTATCACATTTATACAAATTTACATTGATTCAGTAGGTACATAAACAGTGTAGGTAAACAAACAATAGTAAACAGCAAGCTGATTCGACCATGGATATTGTCCGACAAAACCATCATAAGCTTGTTTGCATGAGGGTCCCGTCGTGTTTCTTGCCGTCATCACTAAACTCCAGTAAGTTTTATACGTCCAGGTGCTCTCCTTGGTAAGCTCCGTTGACTACAAGATACTTCATCATCGTGTGTGACCTCTTGCCTCCCTTGGTCAGCCTGTGAGGTGATAGTAACATGAACGATGACTATGACAAAGTTGGCGAAATCTGAGATGGCTTGGGGTCTTCTTTGTTATAAATCAGCTTTACATATGTTTCAAGTTCCATGCTGGTCTCTCAAACTGCATGATGGCTCCAGTTATATGCTTGATTACTAGTGAAGCCGGTTGCTGCCTCATGACTGGCCACACATGACTCGACACATGGTAGATTACGTCGAATGTTGATAAGTAGGAGATGCTGGTATACTGTACCCCGTGTTTTGTTGCACAGGGGGGCGGTGGTGGTTGCTAGGTGTTTATATAAGTGTAGGCTAGATGTTCACATAAGTGGTGGCTGGGTGTTCACATAAGTGGTGGCTGGGTGTTCACATAAGTGGTGGCTGGGTGTTCACATAAGTGGTGGCTGGGTGTTCAGATAGTTGTGGTTATTGGTTCTGAAGAAAGTCGTGACGCAATTCGAGGTCCTCTGAAACGTCAACAATGGAAAGATTTTCTCTTATTGTGTGTGGTAGTGTTACTGCTGCGTCATTATGAACAAGGACGGGAGAGGTGATCACTGTATGTTGTTGACGTGGTTACGGGTACAGTAATGTAATTTGTAAACAGAGAAGAGGAGAGAGTGAGAAGAAGTGGAGAGGAGAGAGTGAGAAGAAGTGGAGAGGAGAGAGTGAGAAGTGGAGAGGAGAGAGGGCGAGGAGGAGAGGGCGAGGGAGAAGAGGAGAGGGCGAGGGAGAAGAGGAGAGGGCGAGGGAGGAGAGGAGAGGGCGAGGGAGGAGAGGAGAGGAGCGAGGGAGAGAGAGGAGAGAGGGCGAGGGAGAAGAGGAGAGAGGGCGAGGGAGAAGAGGAGAGAGGGCGAGGGAGAAGAGGAGAGAGGGCGAGGGAGAAGAGGAGAGAGGGCGAGGGGAAGAGGAGAGAGGGCGAGGGGAAGAGGAGAGAGGGTGATGGAGAAGAAAAAGTCCATAGTTCGTCTTGACCTTCAGCAACAGGAATGAATGCAGTAACTTGCCAAACAAAAAACATTATTATCCCCCCTTGACCTACTGTACACACCCGCTCATGTTAGGACTCGCCCCCAACCCTTTGTGTCAGACAGTTCACGTGACTAAAAATACATGCGAGGTTTTGTTGATTTATTCCATTTAGGTAATTGTGTAATATTTTTCTAGCCTTGTTATTAAAATAGTTTGGTCGTTAGCGAGTTATTAAAAGCATACACTCTTGACGGAGGTGTGAGAGAGCGGGGGGGGGGATTGGTAACAGCTGGATAGGTAGGTGTGTAGTGAAGTGTGTTATGTTTTCATAGGAAGTTGTCCAGAGTAAGTGACTTTATTTGGAGTGATTGCTATGGCTTCACTGTACGTAACTCGTATTTATTAAAAAAAACATCTTGAACGACTTTCCTCCCGAACACCTGACGTTCATAAAACTTGACAATTGTATGCCACAGGCAATGTGTTGGTGTTATTACGTTATGTATGTATGTATGCATGCATGTATGTATGTATGTATGTATGTATGTATAAAAGATTAACATTATGGTTGTTTATGGAGAACTAATATTGTGATTTTGTATACGGTATTTTTTTTTTGCATACCAAAGGCCACAATTGTGATCGTATATAGGACTAAAATTTTGATTGTATATAAGACTTAATATTTCGTTTATACAGGACTCAATATTTGTGTTTTTGTGTACAGGGGCGGCACACACTCATGGATCGTGCTGATGGACGGACGAGGGAAGAAGATCGCCGAACTGGAGGGTCCTTCAACCAACCGCTGGGTGAGTGTGTCTGTTGTTCAGGTCGGGAATATGATGCATGGGTAGTTATAAAAGATCCGGGCTAACGAGTCATGTGAGTAAAAACAATTATTAAAACACTTGGTTCACATTTTATCTTGGCTCAAAAAAGTCTCAGATGTCGCCCAGCCAAGAAACAAAGTAGCCCCCCTTCAGTGTCTTCTACAGTATAAGGTCTACAAAATGATGCCTAGTAACAATTCTCTGGGAGTTGGTGGTGACGGTGTAGAAGTGATGGCTAAAGGCGTGACGGGGAGTTGGTAAGTGACGGTGTCAAGGTTACAGTCCTGTCACTCCGTGTATCCACCTGGTAACTTGCATCAAACTCCAGCAACTGTGTACATATACAGTCTACTGTATGTGTATCAACTTGCACTTGGAGGTTATTATATGGTACATATAGCGTCCTTTTCTTAATATCTAGACGTGTCACCTTGGTTACCGTAATATTTTATCCATGTTAATCCACTTCACTTTGTTTACATATGAGCGAGATTGCATCGTGTCTTGGTATTTAAAAACACAATATTTTAAGCCTGTGACGGAAACCATAATATTGTTATTTAGGAAGTACACGGGACGTTGCGCTGCTCTATGATAAGTCGACCACACACTGGCCACTGCCCACACAAGCGTGGAAAATGGCTTTAAAACATTGACGATGGTGATGTGTGTGGTGTTGGCAGCACCGCGTCGGTAACCTCTGTACAAGGTGTGTCCCGTGACCTTCAAGTGCTTATTGTAGAAAGTGTATATAGGAAGGCGGGAACCAAGGGCGAGGCTATGGTGAAGGTGCCACCAACCCTGGCCCTGTCCTCTCCTTATCTCCCTTCACTTACATCAACCTTGGCCTTATCATGGATATGACGTAAAACTCATCATACTACAAATTTTAAAGTAAAACAAAACTGAGTCCATAAAGTAGAGGCTAAGTGGACACAACTCCTACTGGTGCGTATACAGTTGATTATGTCGCAGAGCTCCACTATAGCTTGACGCCCCCTACACACCGCACCAGCTAGCCGGCCGGTGCCAAGACCTTGCTGGTTTTGAATCTGCTCACAACTAGTTGCTAGGGGCATCAAGTTTCTGGCCTAAGCCGTGGGGTGGTGGCGCCAGGCTGGGGACCTCCTGGGCCCATCCTACACCACACCCGCCATGGCAACCACACAAGGCTACTCTCTATCAAAATAATTATGCTAATGCGTTAACAGACGTGTGTTATGTGTGATAGTTTATGATAAGATGTAGATAAACCTCTAAACCTTCCCTGAATAACCTCGAGTTGCACGACAAACCGTTTTAGTGCAATTTACTTACTTTTGCAGTATCTCATTGACTTTTCACTGTGCATCACGCAATACTCAAAACCAAACGGCTAAAATTATTTAGCTTAAAGCAAGTTTTGTGGAACATGCGTCAACTGTCCGTCTTTGTTTGTGAAGACCAAATTAATCTCCTTCGTTGAGACCATGATGGTCATAACAGCGGTTGGGAGGTCCTGAAAAATCTAGATTGAAAAATCTCATATGACGTCAAGAAGTTTTATTGTAAGGCTCAGGTCGTTGACTGTTGGGCTCGGCAGGTACCCTTGATAAGCTGTAATCGTGATTGACACTCGGGTTTTGTATTAAGTTGCGACACCGGGATCAACAGTGATATGATGTACGACGGTACAGTATTACCTGTGATAAGACCGTCACGTAAACTAGCCTCCTGGACAGCAAGTCTCGGAAATATATTTTAAGAACTTTGGAGCTTATGGTGAGGACTTCTGGGGTAAAATGTGGCCCTTCCAAGTGAATCTTGTTCCAGGTTATTTAAATGTTGTCATACAAAGTGTTGTGTTGGTGTCCGATGATCACTGTGACGGGGAGTACGGTGAATCATAAAACTGATAAACTCGTCTGTACTTTGACCCAAAAATGTACTTATGTAGAACGCAGGAAATATTTGTTTATGGTTCAATAAACATGATGACGTATACCGCAGTAGATGCATCAGTTTGACGCAATAAATGAAGTAATATATAACTTCTGAACACCAGTTTATGACCCCAGTAAACCCGGTTGGCGTCGCTCTTGGCGTATCCTCACATAACCGGTGTGAGACTTCAGCTAGGAAATTGACAATAGTTTCACGTGTCATAATCGTCGTAGCGTGTCATTAGTTATAAGAATACACTTGGATTGTATAGAAGAAAACGAAGGCTAGTAGATGGTATAAAGTGTTGTTATAGGGGGCGCGGAAGACTTGGGGCCTAAAGGTTGGTACAGAATTTACTTGCAGAATCTGTCCAAAAATTAATGTTCGTTCATTTTGATGTTAATTTAATGTATGTAGCTAGCTGTTGGTGACCAGGCGGACAGTACAGTGCAGACAGTATCCTCACCGGGCGACCCTGCACGGTTGGTTGCACTCACTCCTATACACACACACACACACACACACACACACCCCTCTTGTTGGATTTCACTCAGCGAAAGTTATTTATCCAGTTTGTGTTGAGAACTGTGACGTGGACCTCCTCCCTCTCCTCTTCCCCCCCCTTCCACCCTCACCTCTTCCCCCAGAACTGTACTCTCCTGAACTTGACTCTTAAGGAGAAAGTAATTGAAGGTTTAAATATAGGAAGATGACTAGTTTAATAAAGGTATAGAGTCTGGGACCAACTAATAATTGAAGACTGCCCTGACCCGTTGTTGTGGTGTGTGACATTGACCTATACAACGCGTACTAAATTCTACTGGTCAGGAAGTTAATACCCCGAGCGTTCCAGACTAATAAGGAGTTGGATCAACCTATTATCTTCTCAAGGTCGACCCAGGAGGACCCAAGGAACCTATGGAACCTGTAATATGGGTTTTTTTATTATTTTTTTTACTGTTCCTATAATGTAGTGTCTGTTGTTTTATTACTAATATCTATACAGTATCTGGTGACTCAACGTGATTGGTCTATCGTTTATTTATCTCCCATTTACGAAACTAATATTACGGTTATTTTGTTATTATGACAGAGTAAATAGTTAACGTATCTGATGTTTATCTTTCATCATCTCGTTTTCTGACTAATCCGGAAATTCAGATTTTTTTGACGTGACGGTTTTGTGCGTTGGTTTACGTCTCATTTTGTAACTAGAAAACTTCACAGTTGCAGGAATTACAGAATCCCTCAAACTGCCATTTATGCTGTATCTGTGGCCTGTACCCCCTGTGAATTTGTTGTTGTTGATGATGCATTACTGCGCGTCAACAGATACAGATGTTCTTGAAACTTGGCAGTCATTGTCCTCTCAAGACCTGGAAAGACCTTGACGATATCATAACATTTTAACCAGAGTATTTTTTATCAGTTTGCATTAACACGGCGTCAATGACCTCAAGGTTACGATAGTGGAGAGTTTGTTAGTAATCAGTGAGAGCCGCGGGCAGGTGGCAGTGTTTTATACCAACTATCAAACGACCAGTTCAGAAAGATGATGTATAAGTTGTCTTGTCTGGCGGCTGTATATACGACGTGTTTTATAAGAGCAGTACGACACACACACACACACACACACACACACACGTACATTATTGAAGTGTATACAAGACTGGTTTAATGTATGGCCTCAGTAGTTATGTACAGTGCAGTAGTGTTGCTCGTCATTGGCTTAGATTATTTTCCTGGCTTAATAGTATTTAATCAGAATTACTTGTTTACAAAGAGTAGAATCAAGACTGTTGGGAATTTAATGTTTTGATTGATCATTATAAACTTGGGTAAAGTTTAATGTCGAACACCACATGGAAGAGAAGACTCTGTAAAGGCCAACATTTATTGAACCTGCTCAAGGGGTGATAATTATACAGAATATTTTGATAGAACATTATGCGAGCATGACTGTGGACTGATCAGTGTCTGGTGTGTTGCTGTAACGTCTCTCACATCTAGTATCTCGTCGTTGTCTTACTGCTTTGGTGGGGGACAACTTGGGGTCAAGGAAAAATAACAGTTCCAAGGTAAACTTAACTATGTTTACCCTGACATGTAATGGGGCTTCGATGATGGCTATTTATATATGTGTATATGTAGAATGTATGTAGTGTTATCAGAGACACAGATGGGTGGAGGAGGGAGGACAAGGAAACCAGGCCACAACATAGGTTAATCATTAGCTTGACCTTGTTCCGTGTCACCCTGGTGCCTGAGGTGCAGCAGCAACTGGGGTCAGAAAGTAGTTCCAGCGACTTGTGGCGCGGATGCTGCCTTGTTGATGCAAATGTCAAACAAGGTCAGCTTTTCTCCCTCGCCACCTAGTCCTGGTCGATCATGTTGACGTGATCATGTATGAGGACTCGTTCCATGGGAGAATAACACTCAGTAGTCAGGCAGGGAGAGTCAAGTATGTCGTTGTTGTATTATGATGACACACACACACTCTCTCTCTCTGTGCTTCCATATACGATGATTAGATACTTACCATATGACCGGGATCCATATTTGGGTGGCTCTGGGTGACAGGGACACATCTCTTGTAAGGGAGAGTACAGGTCAGGAGGGAAACAAGGTCACACTCACTCCCCCCTCACCCAGCATACTGACCTTTAATGCCGAGGGGTTAAGGAGAAGGTCTTTGAGTTTACTGTATATATTTAGTTGTTGCTGGAATTTAGGTTAATGAAAACATTACAACAAATTTCATGTGGTGGTAGGATTTGTAAACACGAGTCGAGTCTAGGAACTGTATTTGCACCTCCCTCTCTCCCCTTCCCTTCCCCCCCGCCCCCCACGCCTCCTTCCCTTGTCCACGCCATTTTATTATTTTATTATTTTTTTAAGCCTGGAAGTTCTGACGCCGCAAGTAACCTTTTATATTCTTGAGTTAGGTGCGTGTGTTTGTTTGTATATGTGCGTGTGTTTGTTTCTATATGTGCGTGTGTTTGTTTCTATATGTGCGTGTGTTTGTTTCTATATGTGCGTGTGTTTGTTTCTATATG